TATTGAAAAAAGCAATTGTTCTTCAGTCGGTGCGTCTGGCATTACCGTGACCCTACGCTGCTTCTGCAAACAGTCATTGTCGAGTAGAGTGGTTCCCGTCTAATGCGCAAATTTTTGGCTGTTAAAGGGGACTGGCTGTCGATGGAGGAAACATCCGCAGTTCAGTAGTCTGTTGCCAGAATAACATGTACCGTATATGACCTATATCATGACGGAATTTGAGAAGATCACTTGTGGGCAGCTACGATGCTGCACATTTTATTTATTCCTCTAACCATTAACAGAACATGGCCTTTTCTGCATACAGACTACGTTATCGATCAAAATGTTTACAAATTTGAGCGGAAGTCTGCTTTATGTTGTACTCAGGTTGGTTCCTATGCCAACAGCTTTAGTAGACTAGGTTTATGCATTTGCCGGTGCTTTTTCACATGAGCAAAGAAAGCTCGCGTGTTTTACCAAACAGAACTTGTCGCGCGTTGAAAGTGTTGTTTTTATCCACGTAAATCAGGTGAAGCAACGTGCAACCAAGCGTTCTATTTTCGCTAATTAGATTTACCAATTTTTGCATAAACAGTTTTCCTGTACATGTAAAACTTCCGTTTTCTCAGTTACAATGCTTTTTGACGTTTTCGGAATTTCCCGTTTTTCTAAAAATGTTTTTATTTCTCATCAACGTAATGTTAATATGTTTTAAATTGGTTTAAATTCATTTGTTATTGTTTGAAAGCGTTGGTACATTCGTTGGCGCCGGTTTATGAATGATTAGTCGTCTTTCGTAAATGGCAGCACATATCATAAGTTACATCTTTAAAATGCACTTAAATATACATGGAGCTGACGAATATCTGCGTAAGTTACCCTTTTCCAAGGTAACGGCAAATTAAAAATGCGGAATTTTGACCGTTTTTTCATTTTCCTGAAAATCAGTCATATAAATGCCGCTGTGAACGAAAGTACTCCATTTTCTCTATATATTGGAGCGTTTTAGATATAGTTGATTCGTTTAGGCCCCGTTCTAAAATTGTAACTGCACCAATGAGTGGCAAAATATAAACTAAGATTTTGTACAAATAAATTTGGGCAGAACTTGTCAACTGCTTCCTCTCTTTGCATGAATATGATAACAATAGGAGAACACAGTATTTTGAATTTTCACAGAATAAATAATAGCAAGGTCATTTTATTGTGGCGAATGGTCAATATAGTAGTCGCCGGTTATCAAGCCCACGGCTAATAAGCCCAGCCGCGTATAAAGCCCAAGTCAGCTTGGGACGGAATTTTACATAGCAAAATCCACCGGTTAATAAGCCCAGTCGCCGGCTACAAAGCCCAGTTTGCCAACAGGATAATGAGATTCTCATCTCTCTACGCTCTGCAGCGCGGTCTACAGGCATCAGCTTTCACAAAATCTGACGATTTCTGGTGCCTGGAGAAGGACATCAAAGGGCACGTGAGTGAAGTTTCCTCCAAAAAAAATGACACTAGACCGCTTTTTTAAACGTGTTGCAAATCATTTCTTTGTTTTTGTTATTGCGTAAAATACAAACAAACAGCATTCTTGTCTTGTACATAACCAAGCTCTACACATAATACAGTA